TAAGTGATAATACCGATAATTTTAACATTTAGTTTACTTTAAAAAAAAATTGAATACCAACATTGGAATTTATTGTAATTACCAATCAGAATTAAAATACAATAATTTGGAAGTAATTGAAATGAATGAAATATTTAAATTATACAGAGTATTTCATAACTTGCGCTTTGGAGAAAAATGTCAAGTAAGATATCAAGAACATAGAAAAAATATTTACAAAATTTTGCCAGAATTTTTTAATAATTTGACCTTTTCATGTTTATTTGTAATTGTAAAAGTACAAAAACTTATAATTAAACATACAGTTTAGAATACAGTTTCTTAGTTTCCTTTTCTAATAGCCTACAGCAAAAACATGAGCGCAAGTTTTAAAACACCCTGTATATTATAAAATTACCGGAATTATTTTGGCATTACTAATTTTTTAAAACTTGGTACCGACACTTTTTTGAGAATTACAAAAAATGTAGGAAATTACTTAGAAATTGCAAGAAATTTATGCAGCGTAGCAGAAATATTGTAGAAAACAATTTAATCAAGCATACGTTTTTTGGAAAATCTGCAACTTCTTTTAGTGAGATTTTATTTAAAAAAATTTCGTTGTTATTGTGTGTCAACTATAACACAAAACTACCAAAAAAACTGAACTAATTTTGTGATTAATGACGTTTTCAAATTTTCCGCAAGTTTTATTTCTGAGTTTTACCACAATCAATGACAAAAATTGTTGCATCAATACGTTTGCCAAAAACTAAGAACATTTTTTTCAAGGGTAATTTATTTTTAAAAATTACGATAAATTATTCGAAATTACTTATTGTACTTATAAAAAGTGAAATTAAGCTGTAGTTATAAAAACTAATTTGGAATCAGTGGAATTACATTGAATTATTGGAATTACTAAAATTTTCCTATTTTTTTCTAGAATTGTATAGAATTATGTACTTATAGTCGAACAATGTAGTTTAAAAAAACAAAATGGGGGGTTGGGGTCATTTTTTATTAAAAATTGTTAAAAGGCTGTGTAAATCCTCGTATTTGTATCCAAAAAATTTTTGAAAATATAGATTAGTCTGCTCTTTCACATAATTATAATGTCAAGGTGAGTGTATTGTTTTTAAGATGTTAATAATAAATGCAAATTTTAGATGTTTTATTGCTACAACACATTTTTTGTGGAAGAGCTTTTGAATAATATTAAAATGTTTTTACCTCTAAATACTATACCAAAAACAATTAAATTTTTTAATTTACTTCTGTTTTGGTCAAAAAATCTTTGGCTTATTAAAATTTCTATTTCAAAGGTTTGGTAACTGTTTATTTTCAAGATGCATCAATATATTATAATTACGGTTTAAAACCACCCCTAAAGAAAAATTTAGATAATTTCTTGTTATAATCTTGTTATAAAAATCGACCTCATATTAAACACAGTAAATGTCAGAATTTATATTTTTTCTCAACTTTGAATAATAACAAGTTCGCAGATAACACCTGCATTACTCTGTTGAGTACCTTTGTAGTTACAATTTAACAAATTATTATTTTATTAAATGCTCCTTAGAATTTATTGCTCCTACTTCATTTTTCTGCTTAAAAAAAATGATGACAAATACAATTTTCTTCAAGTCTGAGATCATTGCTGATGATTTCACCTCCATTGTGATCGTCTGGTGAAACCAGTACCATTTGTAAAATATCATTTTGTATATTCATGTCATGATTGCTATTACAGATTATGACAACAATTTTAACTAAACCAGATTAGCAATTATATAATGTCTAAACAAGAAGAGAAAAAAGTCCTTGATTTAAAATTACTTGACATTTGTATAGGCACATAAATTACGAGCTGTGACTGAAAATCTTATGAAAAATTATTAGCATGACAATCAGGCTTAGATAAACATTATAATACAACATATATGACAAAATCTCATTTTTGTAGTAAATATAAATGCGCAATATCTAAAAGAATTATTTAAGAAATTAGAACTTGTACGAGTTTTTCAATTTGTTAATGTTACTTAGCTTTACATTATTTTAAAATCAAGTAAGTATTTAGAAATCATTAATAGTCTATAATTTTCAGAAATATGGACCTTTAGAAAACATATTATTTATTATTTGGAAACAATTGAGTGCCATTAAACAACGTAATAAATATTGCTGACAATGTTGTCCTAAATTTAATAAAAAAGTATTTGTTGTTTTATTACTAGTGAATAAAGTAAAATAGAAAAAAGTTATTAGTCTTCAGATTTTATAGATATTTAGAAAAAATGCTGTATACTATTAGTGATTACGCAGAATTTGGTCCACTCGAGCTGTGAACAAAAAATCTTGTATTAACCATTTTAAACTCGAAAGCACATAAAAGTACTGTGATAAATCTTCACAAATATAGAAGATGAAAGTATCAGTCATTGCAAACAAGGGAAACACATTATCATTTGTCAAGGCCATACCTTCTTCTTGTAATTCCCATAACAGTTATAATTTGTGCCCATTTATGTAATTTATTCAAATGTTAAGTGTTTGCCACCGTTTTCTCATAATGAATAGTTGTGTCACTATGATCGGAAATAAATTAATAAAATTTTAAGATAAATAAGGTACGTCATTGATTCAGGTACATAAAAAAATATTTCTCAAGTTCACTCAGTCACTGCACTTTAATCTGTGAACGTGTGCGTCATATCACGCAAATATTTAAAAGTTTCAGTTATATTTTTTGTGTAATTAATGATTATGGAAGTTACCATGTATAGATGATGGATTTTTATTTGTCCGCTCTATAAGAACAACAGTTCGTACAATCACCCAGTTTGCTTCGATTTTATTTCACAACATTGGCACTGTTCTAGATTGGTTTATAAACTTTTATTCATTCTTAACTCCATCTAATTTGTCGCAATTTAATTTGGGTGCGGGTATCGAACAATTATGTTGTGTCTGGACGTAAATTACTTACCTGTGCTAATGTAGCGACTGTTATTCCGAATGTTAGAGCAATGCGAACAATTATTACTTCTCCTGGTAAAACTATTGAGCCACAACCGATGACGACCAGTAAAAATGTGCCGATGAATTCCGCTACTAACATTCGCCATATTGCTTTATTTTCTGTTATTTCTGAAAGGCCTAAGATGCTGTCTGCACCTGAAATAAATAAAAATCTTTCAATAACAAAAAAATTACTAAAATAAAAATACTGTCAAAAAAATATTTAAATAATTCTTATTTATTTTAGTGTTTATATTGTAAGTTAAATTAAAAATAGTTCTAGATTAAATATTTTCAGGGTTCATAGATCTATCACTCCCTGACTTACCCTATAACTCATTGTAATTATATCGATAGGCAACCCACCATTCAGACGCGTTTATTAGTGTTCATTTTCAATTTCTATTGGTAGAATTAAATAATATAATAAGTATTTTTATACAAAATACAACAGAAATAAATACTAATAAATTAATTTTTACCAGTAACAAAACGTATTGTAAACTTATTTATTTTATTTTATTTTTCAAAATAAGTGTGTTTAATAAATTTTTTGCAACAATTAAATTCTCTATCTCGATTCACACACTTTACTAGTGTTCTAGTAAAGGTATTAAAAAAAAACAAAAGCCCACACCTGGCGGTGTTTAATTAATTACACACAAACTCAGAAAGGAAACAAAGCAGTGACGTATCAAAATAACTTTGCTAAATGAAATCGGAGTATCAAAATTCAGACTGATTTATCACTTATTAGTAAAACATAATGTTCGGTGTTTAAAAGCTTCGGAACTTTTGTTGCAAAATGTGACAAATGTATCTAGAGTTGAAATTTTGTAACCACACTTAAATAGTCAGTGTTAGGAAATTTTGTTTTTTTATTTTATCTATTTTAAAGTCTGCTTGAACCGGTGCAGGGTACAATTCCAGTAATTATAATACCATAATCTTACCTCTTTTACAAGAACATCAATAATATTTTTCTTTTTTTGCTAACAAATATCTTAAAAATGTTAGAACATTAAGATATAAAAACACCAATCAAATCAAATAAGCTACATTAGCAAAACTATTAAAACAACAAAATTTAAATTTAGTCGTACCACCAACTATTAAAAAACTACAGTTTAAATTTAATTTTTTTGAGTTTCAAATGGTTTTATTTTATCGTCCTTTTGCAAATATTACAAGAATAAAGCAAATCTGCATGGCACTGCTTTAGTCAACTTTAAAACCTCCCTATTCTTAAGATTAGACTCTAATGTACTAATAATTAATGTTTGTGGTACAGAAATATTTTTTGTTTCGTAACAATTTTTTTTAAAGTACTATACAGGATGTGACAGAACTCGCGCTCCAGAACAAATTTCAAGGAAGATAAGATACCAGGAACATGGAAAAAATGTTTAAAAACTTCTATCTATCAAAAAATTTTGACTATTTAATGTTACTGATAATCTTGAACATGTTTTTTATAATTATTTAGTAAAGGTACAAAGATTTTGCCAAAAAAAGTTAACATTACAAATAACATTACACAGAGTTACAATTTAGTATACAGCTTCCTTGTTTTCTTTTCTAATAGCCTACAGCAAAAAAACTTGGAAAAGTATTTTTCCAACAGAAATAAATAGAGTCAAAGTGAAAAATTTAAACTTTAAGAATTTTTTATAGATAAAAGTTTTTAACATTTTTTCATCTTCCTGGTATCTTACTCTACATGGCATTTTTCTCAGTAGTTGTAAAAAAGCGAAATGTCTCTGTTTCTTTGTGTATAATAAAAAAACAGTGTTGTTTTTTCTTTTTCTTTTTGTTTAGTGTGCTGAATTAATTTAAGTAACTAATTATGCTGTCTTTATAGAGTGTTATGTTTATTTTCTTAATAAGTATAATAACTGACTCTAATTTAATATTTGCTGCACATTATCGACATTAAAAATTAAAAATTCTGTAAAAGAGATCTTATTAATATATTTGGACAATGTAAAAATAATATAAAAATTACATTTTTTTATATTTTCTATAAGTAAAAAGAAGTATGTCAAATTATTAAGAATATTATAAAATAAAAATGTTACGAGCATTACCTACACAACACTAATTCTGAAACTTTTATACGTTATACTTACACATATTAACAGTAAGATGTAAAATACATTTTCGAATGTCTAATGAATTTTTCAACGAATTTATTTACAACTATTTTATTTTCAATGGTATACCTATGTGAAATAGATGTTTACGAGTATTAATCTCGTTCTAATGCAGAGACAAGCTAATAAAATTTCATCTTTTTTTAGTATTGTTTTTACAGACTGCATTATACAAAACGCTCCTAGCCATAAACTCTATTATTTTTAAAGATACGACAATACTTCTTTAAACAAAGTTGAGCAGTTTATTGTGAGCAATTTTTGGGATAGACAATCTATCATAGAAATAAATGCAGAGTGATCAAAAATGACTAATTAAGTTAGCATTATTAAATTTCATTTTTGAATAATACAACTGCAATAACTTGCGGTTGTCAGCATCATTGAATACTTAAAATTATACTTAATTGAATTTTAAACAAGTACAACATTTTTTTGAGATAGTTTTTTGTCATATGTTTTCCATTATCCTCTACTTTTAATTTTATGACATATAATTTGCCAAATTGGTGATCTTTGTAAACCTTTGTTTCAACTCAATTTTTTTACTTCAGAATTATAAAGTGTATGAAAAATAGTAATTTTATTGTCTTCGCTTTCAATCTCATTTCCTTTCAAAAACAACATGTTTTTTGCTACATAATTGTATTTTTATTACTATTTTGTTTAATGTAGCAAACAGAAGGTGGGAATGCATCGTAAGTTATGCAAAATTATAGTCTTTAACATAAAATAGTTTAATTTCTTTCCATTTAATTCGATGCAGAAGACGGTAGTTCAGAAAATACAACCAACATTAAGGCACATCTACAAATTTTTTTTTCATTTGCAATGAAGAAACATAAAAAAAATAGTCTTCTTTACAAAAGACTTTTTAGCTTACACACTTCCAGATAATAAATAATCAAAGCCTTAAAAAGTCAATTTCACAGTATTTTGAGGTGTGATACTAAACTTATACCCATTGGGAAGCTTTATAAAAATTCATAGGAATAATAACATAAAACATTTTGTCACTTGCTTTAGTTTATTCATTTCTAGGTTTGTTAAGGTACTTTGATCTTTGTTTTACTTAATTCCCACGTACTCATGATTAAGAGATCAGAATCGATATTTTCAGAACACCGTGTTCATAGATTTTATCTTCGAACATTTCACTTAGAAAGTAGATATGAACAATCATCCCATACAAACAAATTACCATTAATCATCCTTTAATCACCAGCGGAACAAAAAACAGCAAAACATTTGCAAAATCATGGCAGATTTTAAACGTGATAATGAAAGTTTTTACATTTTGTACCAATTCAAGAACACTTTTCTCGCCTTGTTTTACTATTTCACGCTCCCATTCGCATTTCTCATTTCACCACTGTCATTGTTTTTTAATTTTTTTCACCTTCTCTTGGATGTTTTAATCCAAGTATTACTTATCTATGACAGTAAATCAAGATAGTTTTCGAGTGTTATTATCTTATAAGCAAATATAGGTATAGGTAATTCGAACAGTAGCTAATGACTACTGACATAAAATATGTTATCACTTATCAGGTGTTGGAAACAATGTCAGTGCAATTAAGAATGAACGGTAGCAGTTGGTAGCATAATCAATAAGGGCATCACTTAATTTAAAATTTCAATTATTTTGTCACATATGATTTTTAACAGGATTTTTTAGTTATAATCAATCAATTATTACGAAAAAATATTATATTGTATTTGTTGGTGATAATGATAATAATTATAAATTTTTTTGAGTTTTAAAGCAAGCGTAAAATTTATTTAAATCCTAGATAATATGTATTGATAAAATATTACATTTTGATTTTTTTATGTTGTAGCTCTCCAAGCCAAGTTGATAACACACCTAGAACATTGTTTTCAAGTACCGAGACTGGATTTACAACACATTTTTTCCTAAACTTAAAAAATAACTTAGTTATAACGTTGAACAATTACAAACGATAGTTTTTGAAGTGAATTTTATGAAACAAAATTCCTTACCCTTTATTTCTTTGTTGGCCATTGTACCACTGAAACTGAAACACCTGAAACGAGAGCACCGTTTACCGCAAACTATTCACAGTATGTGTAACGAATCGACGACACACCGCTAAACTAGATTCAGAATGCAGTGTCAATCATACAAAATCTCTCGTAAGTCAAGAGATTTGAATGTCGGTCAGGAGTGGAACTGAATGAAGTCGAGTTGTTCGAAACAGTTATATAAAAGTGAAGTCAACCGAACGTCGAATCGAAACAATACGTATTCGGCGGAAACACCTGACGAAAAACTAATTTTCGAACTGATTTTGGTACTCTCAAGGTGCGGCGTAGACAGTTAACATTTTTTTAAGTTCCTATGTTGACTTCAGCATTACTCAACATTTATGATTTGTGTGATGTTGGTTTTATCTAATTATGGGACATCGTAGCGCTGAGATTACTCGAGAACGGTAAAAATAACCGGTAAATGGAGGTACATAAGCAAATATTCCATGAAATGCTTTTAACTTCTTGAAATATACATTTGAAGATGCAAGCAAACCTCTTCATACCAGCATTAGTCACGTTGTTAGAGGGTGTGTTTATGCTAAGAAATTTTCTAAATGGTGGAATCTATTTAGTAAGCCCGTTATCTGAATGAAATAATAAAATAAATAAATAATAAATAAAACGTTTGAATGCTTTCTTGTAATTTGAACGAGAAACATAATACTAATAGGTGGAAATATTATCTCTTGCTTAAAAAAAATAACAAAATTGTTTGAAACTAAATATTAGGAGCCTAGAGAATAAGTAAGTATTAATAATAATAATTTAATACTACAAGAATGTTCTTAATAAATGCCAAAATTTTTATAAAAAAACTTAATTTTCAATTTCCAACAGTTTTTCTCTAAATTTGCTAAGTTGATAACATTTGGTATATAGTTTACAGTTCTAAAAATTATACTATACAGGCTGCGCCAGAACTCGCACCCCTTACCCATGTAAGGTAAGATACCAGGAACATGAAAACAATGTTAAAAACTTCTATCTATAAAAAATTAGAAGTTATGAGAGTTTAAATTTTGCACTTTGACTCTATTTATTTCTGTTGGAAAAATAATTCTCCAAGTTTTTTTGCTATAGGCTATTAGAAGAGGATACAAAGAAGCTCTATCCTAAATTGTAACTCTGTTTAATGTTATTTGTGGCTTTTGTTGGCAAAATTTTTGTACTTTTACTAAATAATTATAAAAAACATATTAAAAAACTTATTAGTGTCATTAAAAATGTCACATGTCAAAATTTTGTGACAGATAGAATTTTTTAAACATTTTTTTCATGTTCCACCCTGTATGTCAAAATTATAAAAAACACAAAATATCTTATGAGATTGTAAACAATTAATAATTATTGTAAAAATTATTCAAGTATGTTTTAAGTTATACATATAAAAAAAGACCCTCCTACAAAGCTAAATTATTTTTTATGTTACTCTTCCTTAAAAGTTAAAAAAATGCAGACAAATACTTTTACTTTTTAGTTTTACTTGATTAGATTAACCAAATACTGAAAAGTGAGAAAGCACATAATTTTTGTGACTAATCTGCTGTGCGAAAATAATTTTTCTCTTGTTACATTTATCAACAGATGACCTCCTTTTTCTTGCAAATTTGAGCTGATACCCAAAATAATAAAGAGAGCAAAAAATAAAAAAAAAATTATTAAAAAATTTTGGTAGATGCTGTAAAAATACGGACAAAAAATGGAATAGAAAAATCATTTTCTGGAGATTTAAGAATTAAATTTGATGTAGAGCCTGTTATACAATGGATTCTAACAAAGTGTCAAAAATTTAACCCATTTTTGTCCTCAGTGGTACACTGAGTAAAAAAGTTATGATTTGATGATTTTTTAAAAAAATAAAATAATTTAATTACTGAACTAATTATTTTATATTATTATGCTGACTGCATTAATTGAAGTATACAAGACTCAAAAAATATTTGATTTTATTTATAATTTGTGAAATTATAGACAAGTAAAATAAAAAAAATATGTAACTAAAGTTTTCTACTTATATTATTAGTTACTTCATATCGAAAATTACAAATAATCTAACTGCAACTAAATTCCAGTAAAATTTGTTACATAACAAAATCATTTTATAGCACTTAATTAAAATTATATTTATAAATAAGATTTTTTACATTTTAATGAATTAATTATTTTAATAAACCTTATTTTACAGTGCCGTTTCATTAGTAGTTAAAGCCATGCCTAGTTCAAGTACCCACAAAAACGTATGTGTCGCATAAATTTTTCTTGCAACTTTACACATAAAATTATGAGAGCTTTATTAATTAGAATAAATTACGTTAAATAATTAAAACGTAGTTGTAAAAAGTTAAATACACTAATTGCGATTTTTTGTTTTTACATTAGTCGAAGTTTTAAAAAATGTGATTCTGCTAGTCAGTTTTCTTTTTTTCTTAGTACAAAAAATT